TATAGAGAGAAGCAGGAAAGTCCAGAAGGGGCAATACGGCAAAAAATATTCAGTGCTATTTTACAGGCTGTTGGGCAGCCCTGGGAAAGGGGATTGAAATAGACAGATCTGGGTTTTCGAAAGAAAGTGACAATGGCAGATCGCTGGATGAATTGGAGCATGGAGAAAGGAGTTAAGGGCTCCGTGTGATTGTGCAAATGAGGTAACGGAGTGAGGGCCGCAGAAAGGGGGGACCTAGTCAGGACGTTTGTGTGCGCTAGATTCACCTCCTGACTCTGGGTGGTGGAAGACAGGGAGAAAGATTCTACACACACACACACACACACACACAGTGGGGAGAATATGACCTGAAAGACGACAATGACCTCAACAAGCAAACTAATCTGGAAGGGAGACAGCAGCAGGAGAGGAGAGTTTTGTTGTACTTAAGCTAAAGCTTTCGCCATTTGTTTGGTTTGCTTTGAGGACCTGTTTGTAACGTCCGGGAAGGTAGATGAAGCCGGTGTGGAAATGGAAATCTAGATTTTGAAAGCAAGTTAGAAGCTGACAAATCTAGATTTTGGAGCCATTTAAATACAGTTGGAGGGAGGGAGGGAGGCGAGTGGCGTCTAGAGCACATGCCTAGGTTTGAGCCCCAGAACCTATATGTATAGATGATGCTGAATTAAAATTCCGGCTGCAAACAGGCATGGGAGCCTTTTCGGAGTGATGAAAATGCTCGATTTCTCGATAATGGTGGTGGTTACAAAGGAATGTATGTATTTCAAAACAGAACAAACTAGTATATTTAAAATGAGTGTATTTTATTGAATTTTAAATCCCCACAAAAAGCACTAAAGATAGCAGAAGTATAATTCCTTACAAAATATAGTGAGCACTGAATAAATTCTTTAAAAACTGTTCAACAATTGACTTACAGAAAAACAACCTAGGAGACTGCTGTGCACGTATCAGTCACAAAAATGTGCAGTAGTCTGCCATAGTTCTAGCTGCTTCCGAAGCCAGGGCTGGATGTGCTGGTTCACTAGCCATTTGGGGAACTCTACAGTGTGGGAATTCAATCCCTACTCATCCCTGCTCACACTTTCTCAGCCCAGTGTCATCCTCGTTGACTTTCCCACTTTGGAGCAGCTGAGACAGGGAAGGAACTTGAAGAATAGAACATGACTCATCTCTGAGTAACACAAAAATCTTTTCTTATTGATTGATTTTAGGCTTATGGCCAATACAGTGTCTTCATTTGGCACTGTTCCCTCAACATCACTTCCGAACTGTCCTTTCAGTGCTCAGCTTAAAACCCACTTTGTACAGGAAACCATTTTTAAGCTGATAGAAAGAGGTGAAATACGATACTTCCATTCAGCTACCAGTATGGACAAGTCACTTTGAATAATCACCAACTTCTTGCGTTTGTTTGGGGATCTCGGTTCTGTCATTTACTAAGTATTTGTGACCTTGAAGAAAGTAGAGGTAATGAAACCTACCTTGGAGGGTGCTGTAGATGGAGTCAGCTAACCTAAGTGGAAATGCCAAGCCCAGCACTGAGTAGGAGCTCAATAAACACACGGCCATGCTTTCTGAGCATTCCTTGTTTGTGTTCTTTGCAAGCACCCTCACACATTCCATACAAATTCTGGAGACATTGTAGAATAATGTTTAGGAAGTGTGCAGGTCAAGGATAAAGTTGGAAAAGATTTATGCAATAAATATGTAGATGAGAAGAAACTGTTCTCAGGAGATGGGAAAAAATGAATTTGATTCAGAGGTGGTGGCAAAGGTCTTTCTTTGCATTTCCTTTTCCCATTCATTTGAAATTGTATCTTGCCAAAAGGAGGGGACAGAAGGTCTCATCTTGATGAATGCGGAGCTGCAAAACTCTGTGCCAATACACCTGGTATTTATTCATGCCAGCTGGGAGAGGAGCTTGGTTCTCAGTGTTTTACTACTGTGGTTTCCTGGGATGGGCAGCTGGGTGCCTAATAATGATAAAAACCATAATAATACTTCATAATTATGCACTGCCCTCTGCCAGACTTGGATTTAATTACAAAGACCATGACGGAACTGGCAAGAGCTTGTTCCCTGTTGGGGTGCGATACCCAAGGGCCTGGAAATACGAAGTGAAGTGGTAACTACAGCCTCCTGCAGGCCCTATCCTGGCAACTCACCCAGAGTTCTTCGGGTTGGAGGCTCATCATGTGAAACAAAGAGTACTTTTAAAATCCCCCACATGTACTTAGCACTGCCAAGTAAAGCAGTATTTATGAAGCCAATGCTGTCCCATGTGGGTACAACATCATGGAGTCCCGGGCCTAGAAGGTACCAAACCAGGTGATACCATTCATAAGCCTGTCTCTTAGCTCTAAACATCACTTCTACCACACTCAATTAGGTGAGTTCACTGACCTTGCCTTCTGATTTGGCCTAGGGTTGCTTCTGTGGTAGCCTGATTCAAGCATCAGGGGACTCATCAGATCACTTAACACTCTTGTGAGCACCTATCTGAGCCAAGGCACAAAGTTGTATAACATTATTCCTGCTGCACATGGTGGCTCACACCTGTAATCTCAGCACTCAGGGTGACACGAGAGGATGACCATGAGTTTCAGGACTACAGAATAAGACCCCATTTCAGAAAAAAAGGAACAACCACCACCACCACCAACAAAAAGAAACAAAAACAAAACCACCAGCCTCCAAAACAAACAAACAAAAACCCTCAAGTGCTCCATCTGACTGATCTATGCGGAGGACTTTCATTTAGGCAGCAGTAATAGAAAATAGGATAAACACTCAGAAGATGAATGAAAGCAAGACCACGTGAAAGGACCAAGGCAGTCCCCTATGAAGAGAAGAAGGGAAGCAAGAGAAGAAGGGAAGCAAGAGAGACAGGCAGGGCAACTGCCCTGAAGAGCTGGTCAGCAACCCCAGGAGGTTCTGCTAGGCCTCCCTTCTTGGAGTTTTTGTAATGCTTACAGAATTATCAATCAATTTACTCTATACTGTTTGCCTTGCCTCATTCAGCAACCTTGTCAGTCTTGTTGACCATTAAATCTTGAGCTAATACTAAAATGCTCACTAAATATTGGCCTAACGATTAAATGGCGTAAGTGAGGAAGTGATGGAGAGAGGGCATTTAGTGAATAGTCAAAGTAACACCATGAGAAGTATCTGTGTGTAGGGCAGCTATGTATCATTACAACATCAAAGCAGAACCGGCAAAGGAAAGCTGCTTACTGGCTTGCTCTGAGGCTCACATTCAGTTAGCTGCCTTTCTGATACAGCCTAGGCTCACTGCCCAGGGAATGCACCGCAGACATTGGCTGGGCCTTCCTACCTCATGATCAATCAAGAAAATGCCCATGAGCCAATCTGATCAAGGCAGTCCTCAATTTGAGATGCCCCTCGGGTAACTCTGCTGCGTGTCAGGCTGACAGCTGAAGCTAAACTTGACAATGGGGGTGGGGGGTTTGCACTGCAAAATATAGCTCCTCACATCATGGACAGGAAGTGAAACAGAGATGGGGGTCTCACAACGCACTGTGAGGGCACACCTCCCAATGACCTAAAACTTTCCACTAGCCTCTCTGTCTTTTAAAGATTTCCATCATCTTTGTAAGCCAGGGACCAAGAATAATTCATAGGCCGGTGGAGAACATTGCAGATCCAAACTATAGCAGACAGAGGGACGCTGGAACAGGTTCCAGGAGCTCAGGGGAGGAGTCAATGTGGTACTATAAAACAATACGAGGAAAAGGGGAGCAGGCTTTGTGAACTTCAGGAGGTGAGCTCCAATGTGGGTATATTACTCCAATAGACAAGAGTCTAAAAGCCCCTTATGTATGCAGACCTGGACCCCCCCAAGACCATCCATTCAACTGTTGATTCTATCTGAATGGTTAGAACAACTAGTGCGCAGTACGAAAGTGTGCCTTCCAGCAAAGAGGGCCGAGGGTCACACCCTGGGACTTTCAAGGAGTCAATAAAGGACAGACAGACATTAAAAATAACTGAAAAGGACAATCTGAGGGTGTACAATGTGAAGAAAGGTGTGGGGGGGGGGGTGAAAGAGTCTAAGAAAAGCCTTCAAGAAAGATGTAGTCTTCAGTCTCCACCGCAAGACATCAAAGACTAAAAGTGGTCACTAATCCCAATATAGAGCAGGCTGGTACGAACACCACTAAATAGTGGACAGCTTGGGCAACACAGTGAGTTCCAAGGCAGCCTAGGCTATAGTGAGGCTGTTTCGAACAAACAGGACTAAAAACTGACCCTTGAACTTGACGGTACGGATGTCACTGATACAAGGAGGACCACTTCCAGTAGATTCGCAGGGAGAACAGACTGCGTTTGAATCAATGAGGTCCACGGGAAGTGCCCTGGAAAGCGATCCTAGGTATGTTTAAGAGTCAGGTGGTCGGTTAGTTTATGAATGGTGACCAAGTTTCTAAGAGGCCAGCTGAGGAGTCTCGCGGGCATCACCATCTCCCAGACACACTTGTCTGTCCTTGCAGCCATTTCCATAGCGGGGATCAGCGATCCACATAAAGTACAGGCGAGAGGAGGGAGCTACAACGCCCCCCCCCCCCCCCCGGTGTATGAGTCATCTCCGAGGCAGCCGAGAGCCTCCTGCATGGGAAGAGTTGAATTCAATGAGGTGCCCGTTTCCCGTGAATATTGGAATTCAGTGACTCGGATGGCTCCATGCTGCAGGGAGCCGGGGAGACTCATTCACATTTTCCCACCCGGCACTCCGGAACCTCCATTCAGCATTTTCCTCTAAAGTCTCCCCCGACCGAGCCCAAACGAACAAAAGCGCCTTCCCACCCCGCACCCCCGGGTTGACCTTCCACCCTCGCGCCCACCGCGAGCCCCTGGCCGCGGCCACGTGACCCCCTCCCAGCCTCCCCGGCCTCGCCGGCCTCGCCCCCTCCCCTCCCAGCCCTAGCCGGCTCGGCCCCGCCCACCGCGCCCACGTGACAGCCTCTCTCCCACCTGACTGGCTCCTCCCTTTTTCGGCCGAACCCGGCCGCTGTCGCAGCTGCCCGACTCCAAAATGGCAGCCGCGCACGGCACGCACCCGCGCGGCCGGACCTCCTTGACTCGCCGGCCTCCCCTCGCCAGTTCCCAGCCTCCCTCCTCGGGCCTTCACCTACCCGCCTCTGGATTGGCCGCCGGGAATCCCGCCCCTCCAGAGCCCCGCCTGCCATTGGTCACGGTAGGCTGCCCTTCAGAGAGGCGTGGCCCCGCCCCCCCCTCCGCCCCGGGAGGTATTTTCCATTCCGGTGGGGGGTTGGGGGGCGGGGGGAGGGGAGAGGGTGACGAGGGGGAGGCGGCCGGGAAGGGGTGGGGGCTGGCGGGGGCATCCGGCCGAGCTGGGGGTCCCGGGGCTCCGTCCGGAGGAAGCGAGGCTGCGCCGGTTGGGCAGGAGCCGCGGAGGACGGGGACTCGGCGAGCGGTCGGGCTCGCCCTGTCGCTGACTGCGCTGCCCCGGCTCGTCCTGCCTGGCCGCAGGTGCCCTGGATGAGGCCGCCCCGTGCGCCCCGGCCGCTGAGTGTCCCCCCCGCGGTCGCCCAGCGCCCGCAAGCGGCCGCCTCTCCTTGCCCGGGTCCCCGCGCCCGGCGCAGTCCTCCTCGGGCGGGCGCCTCCGCACCTCGGCGCAGGCGGCACGGCCCTTGGGCCGGGATGGATCGACCGGGAAGAGGAAGACAAGCCGGGGCATTGAGCCCCTGCGCACGGTACCGCGCGTAGTGGGAGCTTGCGCGCAGTAGGCTCTCGGTACGTTTTCCGAGGCATTGCTTTTCGGTTGGAGTCAGGGCACCCAAAGGGTAGAAGGGGTCGTCTGGGGCTGGTTGGAGGGCATTCGTCATCGGGGTCTTGGTGGGTCGGGACTGGGTGGGGGGAGGTCGTCGGGCACCCCCACTGCAAGAGAAGAGGGTACCAGCCTGTTCACCTGGAGCTCCGCAGCTCCGACCTGAGGGTCCTCAAGGTCGACGGTAAAAGGTCTACCGGGAGATGAAAGAAGGAGCCGGGGGAGCGTGGATGCGGGAAAAGACTGGAGCATCTCCGGGGGGTTAACCTGGGGTGGTTAGTACAGGATGCGGAGGTGGCCGCGAGGAAGATCCCGCTTCAAATCCTTGGGCTCTTAATAAATGGCTCTTTGGTGCTGGGGTTTGGGCATCCGAGTGGCTGAAGCGGAGTGACTTTGTGGAGAGGGAGTTGCATTGACAGAAGGATGCTGAGAAACAGCGTAAGTACATCTTGGTTTGCTTCTCAACTTTAAAGGCTTGGGAAGTCAGTCACGAGGTTTTGACATTTTGGCATTCCAAGCAAAAGGTGGCTTGCTGCTGGACTTTGTCGGTGATCCTTTATTTTAAATTGTATGTGTATATTTGACGGGTTTTTGGCAGTTAGCAGTTTCCCTGGACATTCTTAAAACTGCACCTTTAAACGCTTGTAGCAGCTTCTGCGTCTACACTGGAGGCTTGCTTCTTTTCAAAGTTAACGTTAGGCTGGACTATACAGTTGTGATTTTCTGACGTTTATGCTAGAAGACTATTAAGTCATACTTGCTTTTTACTGCTTCTTTACAAGGCCGTGTAAAATTGAACTACATGTTCTATAGAAGTTTAAAATGGCTTTTCTTTAAGTATTGAAATAAGAAAGATGCTGGTATTAGAAAGCAGTGCTAAAATCAGAGTGTTCTCACGGTTGGGAATCTTGGTCAGATGCGTACTTTAATCTTAATGTATTGTCTCGTATTCAGTCCATTTTTGAGACTGGCTTAGAGATGGAAGCAAGACACACAAGCGTGAGGCAATGGCTGTTGTCGAGTTCACCTTCGTGACTGTCCTGCAGAGATGTTACCTTTTTCATTCCATGGGAGCTAAGAATTGCATGGCTGCTCTTCAGTCTTTTTTTTTTTTTTTTAAGTCACATCTGTATTACCCATTTCATACATTTGTTGAGTCCTCTATGGTTTACAAAATGAAAACTCATTTGATTAGGGAGTACTTAAAATTTAGGGGGAAAAAATTCTGGAGCATACCTTGCCAGCTAATTCAAACATTTCTGCAAAAGGGTGCTAATGTTTTTAATTGGCCTTCTAAGTGCTTGAATAATTACATATTTTTCTCCTTATTGTCCTTGAATTTTTACTATTTGTCCTGAGGGAGAATGTACTGGCATACAAAACAGCAGCTTAAAATATTGAAACCTAACACCTTTTGACATTATAATGGCTTCTACATCATTCACCTTGAGAGTCATCTATGGCAGACCAGTAGTGGGAAGGCGTTCCTTTTTTTTCACCTTGTCTGGAGTGGGCTGTTTCCTACTGTTGTGGGCCTAAAGCGAAACAATTCACTGGCTGTGAAGTAATGGTAATAACTTACACAAGATGAGAATGAGAGGCTGGGAGAGGAGATGCCGATGAGTCATTTCTTCTAGAGCTGGAAGAGTAGAAGGTGGAGATGATTATGTTGTAGATTAGGAAACCAAGGCCGAGAGCGTTTGAAGGGACCGAATTGGTAGTTGCTATCGGCGCCAGGATTGGTGGGCCTGACTCTGGAGTGGTCTTGGGTTATTTTCCCACTTTATCACATCCATATTGTTTATTTCTAGAGCCTTTTAGTGCCAACTGTAAATAATTTTGGCTTATTTGTGATATTGGTCCTTTGATAGAGAACTTTGACTATTTTATACATGAAATGATGCAAAACTGCATAAGCTTTTATTTAAAGTTAAAAACAGTGTGCTGCATTATTAGTGAAAATGCTAATCATTTCCACATTGCAAAGAGACAAAACTGTCATCTAGATTAAAATATTAAATGAGCAGCTTAGATTAAGCTAGCGTTCTGTTTTTGTGCTAAAATTAATTGAGACTTAGAATTCAAAAGGGTTTTTGTATTTTTAAGTGAATTGTGTGAAAATTATTTTCTAAGTGTGGGGCTTTTCTTATGTTAAAGTGGATTTTAATTCCTTTAAAAGGAAGTAGAATTACATAATTGTGAAAATACAATTTATGCTATAGTTGTAAAAGAGACAGGAGTTGTATTCCAGCCACTTACCATGAAGCGGCCCTTGTTGGGTGTGGTACACTAGTAATCAATAATCAAAGCATTGGGAGGTTGGGGCAGGGTAGGCGCTAGGAAGGGCCAGCCAGGGCTACAGATGCATAGTTCAAGGACAGCCAGAGCTACATGGTAAAATCCTAGCTAAAAGAGAGAAAGAGGGAGGGAGGGAGGGAGGAAGGGAGAGGGGGGGGGGAAGGAAGTACCTACCTTATGACATATTGGTGAAGATTAACTGTGCCTAACACGTTAAATATCACACATTGTTTTCTGTGTTTCATTAGGTTTAATTAGGATGTATGCTCTTTTTTCCCCCCTTGCTGTTAATACATTCTTAGGTAATCCTAGGTAAATACACAAATAATTATTTGCCTTAATGGACGTTGAGTGGGAATGGCGAGCTTATGGTTTTTGTTCTGTCTTGGCTTACCTTAGACTTTAATTGATCTGCATATCAAGTTAATGTGTACGTTTCTCTGAATGGTGGGGGGGACATTTAAATAATGCTATCCCAAAGTGTGCTCTTTTGGCACGTTTCCAGATGACTCTTCTGACTGGCAGGGCATATAGAGAGTAGCTCTGAAAAGCTGTCCTTGTATGTGGGAGAAATGTATCTATCTGTAAAGAAAGCCTATTAGTGAAATGAAGTTCTAAGGCTTCCTTAAGGCTCCTTTATCTGTCATGGCTGGATCTAGGGGAGAATGGATGATCCACTCACCTCCTTCCAAATTACCACATGGCGTCACATACTCTGAGGATGTCACATGGTCTTTTGAGGCTCTTATTTGAGATACTTTTGTCTGTAGGAGACAGTCTTTGTTCTGAGGTGCATTTCACCCTCTTCTAACCTGTTGTCTTCATCCTCGTTTCTCAAGCCCCTGTCCTTTTATGTCATTCAGAATTATAAACTCCCCTGACCTCCAGGCCTCAGTGCTGACTGGTAGTCAAGAGTCTCAGGCAAGCCACGCCAACACTCCATCAGTGAGTTACACACTCAGCTCTGGCCCTCTTTTGAGCCTCCTCTTTGGTGTGGCCCACACACATGCAAGTTATAAATTGGTACACTATTCCTCTTGCTTATCTGTCTATTGCTATTTTTTTTTTAATTAATTAAGACTCCAATCCCAAACATTGGGTCTGGGAGGAAAATTCCCATTCTCCAGCGTCTCCAAGAAACCCTCATTCCAGTTCATTATTCTGGAACAAAAAGGTGTTGATGCTGCTTTGCAGGTATTCTGAAGAAAATACTGAGTTCTAGAGCTTTTTAAGTGAGTTTAGATAAGGAAATCAAGTTTATAAGGTCCATTATTGATTGCAACTATTTTGTGCTAATGGAATCATGATAAAAATCATTGAATTCTGTTGTCTATAAGTTAATTCCTCATCAACATTTTATTTATTTACTGTGTTTATGTGTGTGAGCATGTGCATGTCATGGCAGGCATGGGATTAGAGGACAACTGTAGGAGTCACTTCTCTCTTACTGTGTAGGTCCTGAGAAGCGAACTCAAGCCTCTAGGCTTGGCACCACAAGGGCCGTTAACTGCTGAGCCATCTCTCTAGCCTTATCAACTGAATTGGTCTTACAGCTTTACTCATTAAACCGCTAGGTTTTAGTGATAAATTTGTGTAATTCCAACTTTAAGATGTAGAGTTCTTTTACTTTGCTGTGTCTCAGGCCCCACTAGTATATGACCATGTGGTTTAACATGTTCCAGATGGTGGCATTTATTATCTATCATCAGCAGGCCCAGGATCACTGAAGTCACCTGAGAGTCACCTGGAACCATCAAATGTTTCTAGGGTTATAGTTGTCTTTCACTTTGATAGAATTTTAATGTTTGAAAATTGACCAACTTCTAATCTTTTGATTATTGTAGACATAATGATGTTATCACAGTCTAAAAGGACACTTGTTGGATTCATGTCATATTTTGGGAATCTGTAGAAACAAAACAGGTTTTCTTTGGGCCTATTACATATTCACATACACTGTCATTGAGGTATAAGAGGCATTAGGTTTTTTTTCCATTAGATTGGAGAGAATATGTGTGTTAGCAAATATTAAAAACTGTGTGACATTGAGAATGGTCTGTCATTCAGGGTGCATGGGCTGAATAGAACACAATGCCTTCTTAGCCTCAGTGTAGATGTTAGAGAATGCAAGAGATAGTATACAACATAACAAATTCTTCATCTGCACTGGCCACCTATCTTATTTTTAAGGAGAAAGGGGCTTTTGCATCTGGTTAGAGCAGAAGAATTGGAAGGGTAATTAGGCTAAATTGTTGACTTGTGTTAATACTGGGTAAATTTTACTTGGGTAGTTTAAAGGAAAATTAGTTGCCTGCCTTGATGTGTAGGTGAACAATTGAAATAATTGATTTGAAAGAGACCATAATGACACTGTTCCATTTCCACATGATCATATATGCGTTTTAACACTGTGGAGAACCAAAATATGCCACCCTAAAATATAATTCTTTGGCATATTTAGGAAAAACTGTCGACACTGGAATAGTTTTAAGGAGCTGTCTTTTTGTAGAAGAAATTTCCGTCTATAAAAGAAATCTACACTAGTAAACAGTGATGCAAGCGAGTCTTCTCCGAGCCTCCCTTATCTCCTTAGAGGAGGATCTAGGAAAGATCTTATCAGGAAGAGAGATTAGAGGACTACACCTCACTCAGACAGATTGCCACAGGG